AAACTTTAAATACAATTAAGACAAAAATGTGTGTCTAGAAATTTTATATAACATTGATAAGATGTGTTAGAAACCTAATAGTTCTTAACACGATTTTTTAATAAACCATTTTATTTATAGTCTACAGATGTCCTAAAAGCTTGAAAAGAAATTTTTATTCAGAAGCTATAATCTTATTATCATTTAAAGAAAAATTTGTAACCTTAAATTTTATTCATGAAAATAAATCCTTTTTCCCCCTTTTAAATAGTATTACATATATATTCAAGAATAAGAACGGAAATAAGGACCTGGGGATGGAGCTCAGTAGTAATAGTAGTAATAGTAGACCATGTGCACAAAACATTGGATTTAATCCCCAGCACCAGGCAGGGGTGTGTTTTGACTTTTTAAAAAGAAGGAAATAATTTTGAGAACAACCTGCTTGAAATCATCAGTTTACCTTCTGCTGTACTTCAAAGCTGATGAAACTTTAGTTAACTAAAGATTCTTGTTTCATATTCTATCCCCATGAATGGAATGGTTATGTCCCAATGTAACAGTATTTGAAAAATAAAAGCAACAAATAGTCATAAGAATAAAATCAATTTATGAATTTTGTAAAAAGATAATTAACTTTATTTCAGAAATCATAAGAATTAAGTAAAAAAGAATGCAGGCTTTAGAATCAAGGAGACATAGATTCAAATCCCCAATTTATCACAAAGCAGCTTTGTGAATTTGGCAAATTTCGTCTTTCTTGGGTTGTTATAATAATACTTCAGTTTCAAAGTAGATGTGAGGATAACAAGTGTCTAACATAATGTCTGGCATACATTTTGTACCCAAAAATATTGGCTCCCTCCCTTCTTTTCCCTTTCTTTTTTTTACATAGTTGTTCCTGTTTCCTATCTTAAGTAAATTCCAACTCTTGATGTTATAGGTTCAAAGAAGTTACTTAGGTGACTTCTTCAACATATTTCAAAACTATAATAACAAACCACAGATAGACTTTAATTGGCATGTATCATTCATTTCTTTGCATTTGCCATTTTTCAAAAAAGAATGCAGCATGCTAGATAAATCTATTCAGGGCATATTTTTAAATTAATGTTTGAATTAACAGTTCTAATTTTAGTGTAAAACTGTGCCCATGTGTCATCTGTTGTTTCTCAAGAAGTCATGAGTCTGTGACATGCACTATTTCAAAAATGGGAGACAAAACATAACTAACACTAATGGGGATCATCGAAAGTTTAATTATTATAGAAGATCAACTACTCCAACTATTATCTTTATTTCTTGACCTACTTAAACTGAACTTTCAGAAACATCGAGATTCTTTAAAAATTTAAATACAGCACTGCCTTTTGCCAAATAGTTCATAGAACAAGGAAGTTTAAATTAGTATGTTTTCAAGGAATGTGTCTCTAATTTTTAGTGTTTCAAATAAATGGCTTCTTTTCCTAAATATATTTTTATATCATGAATTTATTTTTCCAGTTGTACTAATGTTCTCAGAGATCAGGTCTATATTTGTGCTGATTGAAAAAACATCTCTGGTCAAAATATCCTCAAATCTCTTAAAATATTGAGATCTCAATATGCCTGGGCGGTTTAGAAATAGAAGACATACAGAAATAAAGCTGGTTGTAAAGCAATCAAAAGCCCAGTTAAAGTTGGGTTACATTGAACAAGTTGTAACTCTTATTGAGGAGGAGGGCACAAACTAGGTGAAAAGGCAAGGTTTCGATTTTGAGCTGTTGCCTCAATCTCATGTTTAATGAGAACCAAAAGCTCATAAATACTCTTAATACTCTTTTGCAAGAGTATTAAGTCATTGCTACCAGTTTCAATTTTAGCTCAGACGTTACAACTTAGGAAGTCAAAATGTACATTAGAATCTGAGTTCATATAATATTTGGCAGTGGTATTTTGGAAAAAGGAAATGTAATAGTTTATTATGCTTTCCTTTCATCCAGCTTGTTTCAAAAATAAAACAATCACACTTTCATATGGAAATGTTCAGCCCATAGGTTATGGTCCTAGATACTATTTAGTATTTCTCATATATCTACCTTTATTTACAAAAGTCTTTAAGCAGTATTACTTCTAATATTTACTACTGAACAAATGTGTCTTTGTTTTTGCTCCAACAAAATGTGAATTAGTAACGTAAGATTGTTTTAGTTTTTATTTGCCAAACATGTTAATTAACTGAACTGACATAAATTATTTTGGAAATTAAATATGCAGGTATAAAAATATAGTAGAATACTTCCAAAAATATGTTTTCTTTTACATATAATGGAAAATCAGTTTGTCTTAAAGTGAATTGTTGTTCTTTAACAGATATTGAATCATGCTTTTTAATAGGATACATTGATAGCATTTAACTAGATGATCAGATATTTTTATGACTTTAGTATTGTAAAATAAGAATAATAATAATGATCATGCATTGTCTTATCTGCAGTTCAGGGACAGCAATTGTTTTCAAGGCTAATAATGCCAAATAGTGAGATTTTTAACACCTACCAGTTCATGAATATATTGATAGACATAGCCATTCAAATATTGAAAGACAGGCTATGTAACTTCCAAATTCATTTTAGGTTGAAATGATGTAATAGTTTATCAAACATAAGTGCATTTAAAAAAAATTTTAATTGGCTTCAGTTTCCTGAATGAGGATGTTGGACCAAATAACTTTTTAGTTCTTTAGATGGCTGTAGCTCTCCATGGGGCATGAGAATGTTCGATACATATGTACTAAGCCAGACCTTTAAGTTTCCTCTAATATAGAAAGTATCAGAAGCATAATCTCTCCTAATTCCTATTCATGTAAAGTATGAATTGATTAAGATTATGTTCTATAGAAAGTTATTTGGTCTCTTACTACTTTAATAACTCAAATGACCATAAAATTCATATAGAACTTAAACTTTGTCATACATAGTCTTCTTTGTGTGTTTTGATCTTGATCTTCTGGAAATAAGTACAACAACAAAATAAATAAATAAATAATAGATAGAGAAAATTAGAAAAATTTAAAGCTTTTAAGTTTGGAAATCTACTTCATCTCATATCTTGGAGAATGACTATAAGCAAGTAATTTGAAAATGTTCTCATTTTTTAAGATCATTTTTCAGAAACACTGTCAATGTTTGACAGCCTTTACCAGGCATGTTTCTTGTGTCTGTCTAGCTTAGGTACTTTATGCTTTGGTGAATGCTCATGTTCTTTAAATTACTTCCGAAGAGGAAGAACTTTCCTAAATTTGCAGTTGCAAATCTTTTGTCATGATTTATCCAACAATATATTTCTTCACTCAGTGAATAGTAAACAGCTCTTAAGTATCAATCTCATCAATCTGTTAGTGTTTCCTCTTGTGTCTTTCTTGGTATAAATCTGTGCTTTATTTCACAACCTCCAGCACAGCGGAGTACTTGAGTTCAGATCAAAGCTCTATGGAAAGGCAGCCTAACTTCAGCACTGCACTCTTATTCGTAAACAATGCAAGTGATTTCTTAATTTTCACCCATACGAGCCTGCATTAATCCAAGAAATTTTCAAAAACACTTTAATAAAACTTGCACTGATAGACTGATCTGCATGAATGGCTGTATTAATCCATATAATTTAAAAAATGTTTTGTTAACAATGTCATATTGAATTCTGATTCCAATTCTGAATTTCTGATATGATTATCCCTATGTCTTATTACATTTTTTCTTTTATATAAGGGCGTGATGTTTCCTGGTCTACTGTCCAGGTGAACAGAAGTAGGCATTACAAATATAACTTTAAATGGCAAACCATAACAGTGATGAAGATTTCAATGGTTTAACATATCCACCCACTCCTACTCTCATTGTCTAACTCAGTTTTACTTTCTAAAAACCCTCCAGTGCTCCCCCTCTCCTTTTCTTGTTCCTGATAGAATTTGTGAAATGCTTTGTGTTGTGGTTACTGAGATAGGAAAACCAGAAATTATATAATTATATGAGCCCTGGGGGGTTCTTTCTTCTTCTTCCTCCTCCTTTTTTTTAGTTTTACAAGCCTGTTTTAAATTTCTTTTTAATAAAACAACTAAAGCTTGCTTCTATCTCCTCCCACTCCTTTGGCTTGGTGCTTACTCTTTAAGTAACTTGCTGCATTTTATAGCAGTGGAATTTAACTGGGAAGGGCCTCCCTAGGAAACCATGTGAACAGGGATACACCACAGTGGATACACCATAGTGAATACAGACAGACAAGATCAGAGCTGCCTCTTCCCAGCTCTTCCACACCCTCCAAGTCTTTCCAATGTCCTCTTGTCTCTAGTCACAAAAGGCAGCTGAGTTCACAGCTGGAACAACAAGTTGTGCCCCGAATCCAAGCATTAACCCAAGTAGCAAACAGGGTCATTGGTTTAATTGGAGCCTCGGTTGCCAGGAGAACTAGGAATCACTAGACTGGGTCCAGCAACACAGATAAAAGTGCTTCTGTTTCTTGACAGAGCATGAAAATGACGCAGAGTGTAATCGATCGAAAGGATATTGATCACTTTCTTCTTTCCTTCCCCCAGTCTGGTGCCAGAGAGCCAAGGGCTCACTTTATATGTGCCTAGGGGCCATCACAATCTCCATTTTCCCCAAATGCATAAAAGGCTAAAAACAACCACATTCCCCAGCACCGCGGCGTGGCTGCAGCTCCTTTGTTTACCATATAAGTCACACGGGGGGTTCACTCCTTGCCCTCTCCCCTACTTTAAAGCCCATTGCGGTGAGAGACTGAGAAGCACCCCAAACTCTCACTAAGCCCGGATCAACCACAGAAAGCGTCACAAATCTTTTCCCGAGCCTTGAAAAGAAACCAACCAGGCTGAGCCTTTTGAACTCATAACCCCCTGGGATGTCCTCCTCCCAGGAGGGAGCCCGTTTGTTTCCCAGGCAGCTGAGAAACTTAACCGAGATCCCCAAAAGAAGGCGAGGTGTAGCTCCAGTCAAATGGAGCGCAGAGGCAAGACCCTCTTTTACCTGCAAAGTTGCAATCTGGAGGCTGAAGTGATCGATCCTGTAGCGGGCGGCACGGGTTCTGCGGCCGGTGAGAGCACGCCCGGTAAATTGCGATGGGATTTCCTTAGTCGCTGCCGAGTTTTGGAGCATTCCAAGGAAAACGCACGAAGCTGGAGCCCACGCAGCTGGCACCGAACTGGGCGGAGTGAGGATGCTCAGAGAGCAAAACCAGGGGAGGCGGGGGAGGGGCGGACCAGGAGGGGGAGATGTGCGCCAAGGGAGCAGAACCTCGCTCACCCCTGCCCCACCGATTCCTCCAGATAAAGTTAGAGTTCCCAGGCTGACAGCGGATGAGCTCACAGTCGGGACCCCGCCCTCGGTTCCCCGCGGCTGCCTGTCTCCGGGTGCGCGCCGACTGTACTCGGAAGGGACAGCCCTGGAAGATGAGCGTCCCACGCACGGCTTGCGTGGAGGTGTAGGGAAGCAGCACGCGGACAGTGGCCAACACTCAACCCCCAGCTCTGCTCCCCCTGAAAATCCTCCACCTCCCAGGGCCAGCCGCTTGAGGTCAGCCAGTGGGCAGTGTGGCTCAACACAAACCAGCCGTCATCCTGCCAAGTCGGTGGCGATAACCTACCCCGAGTTCCGGGATGCAAGCCAGACACACCTCCAGGCTTCAGGCGGAGTTCTGAGGGGAGGTAGGACTTTGGTTGAAATCCCTGCTCCCACCCTAGTAAACAAACACCCATGCGGCCGGTTGCCCGACAAGAAAAAAGTAACCCCCCTCAACTCGCAAAGCTTCTCCCACTCCCGCTGCTGCGGGCTTCTGGCACCCCTTCTCCAGTCCTCAAGGTGTCAGACTTTCCCTGCAAGAACAGGGATGTGGCTTGCCACTAGTGTCAACAATCAAGACAGTCGCAATGAATAAATGATGAGCCACAGTGTTCTACCCACCCCCGACCAGCTCGGTCTTTTCAACAGGCATAGGAAATCAGCAAGTTCCCAAATATTAAAATCCAAGACGTGGACCAGCTTAGGAGCGCAGGGTTTGGTGTCTGCAGGAGGTGTGCGCGAGTCAGCGAGTGTGTGTGTGTGTGTGTGTGTGTGTGTGTGTGTGTGTTAGTTACTGGAATCATCGCGCTGATATAGAGGTAAAGGTTACTTCTCTACTTCGTCAATCTCTTTGGTGCTCCCACAGGATCAGGTCAAGCGCGGAAAGGAAAAATATATACGATGCGAAAGTTGGCAATAACTTACTTGTAACTGTGATACAGGATTCCCTGTTTGTCTCTCACCACGGAGGCTTCCTGGTCACAACCCCATGGCCCAGAAAAAGACTTGAGTCAATTTGTAAAATGGTAGCATCCAGGCTGTATTTTGGTGTATAGAGATTACCGTCCTCGCGACTGACTCTTCATTTATCCTATTTCCTTTCTTTTTTGAAAGCCTGGGGGTGAACTGCTGTTGTCCATGACATCCCAGCAGATGCCTGCTCCAATTTCTACCTTGTGCAACAGATTAGTGGCAACTCTCTTTCTGGTTCCTGCCACTCACTGTTACACCTGAGAAGCAGTGCTGTGGGAACTACAAGAAGGATCAGTTTCTTCCCATGGAATATTTCCCAAGGAATATAAACCCGCAAGCCAGCACCCACAGGCAAAGTCCAAAGCTCCGAAGCTCAAAATCAAAGACTTTCCTCTTTGTTTATGTCCCCCTCCCCTTCTAGTTCAAATGAGTACTTTTAGAGTATTACATAAGTAAAGAGGATATAACTAGAGATCACCCACTGGAGTGACATGCATGGTGCTTTTTTCCCTATTAAATCACTTTTCATATTTTCTATCTTTTCTATCTGTTTTTCTCATGGGTTTATCCTGAGATTGCCTTGACCCCTATTCTCCACTTTCAGGAGCAAGACCTGTGGGGCATCCATCAAAAATCCCAAGGTATATACAGTGAGGCAAACCTGTTGGTTTCTATAATGCCTCTCCAGAGAGAGCAAAAGGATTTTTTCCTTCTCTGAATCTCTTTTTAATCTTTACCACCACACACACACACACACAAATACATTAACATCTTAAAATAGCCCTTTACTTTTCCTGGCTTTAAAGGATGACTTTTATAAAATGTGCAAAACATATCTATCTGTAGACATGGTAATGAACTTTATAATAAATTCAAGTCCACTTTCTAACAAGGGAAGAGAGACACTATGTGTGGGAATTAATTTTATGCAATGTATTTTGTATTTCTTTGCGAGACAACCTGGTTTCTTGATGATTAGTGTCTTAGAAACAAATGAAGCTAACATTGATTGATGTAATGTTTCATCTGAAAACTAAATTCTACATATCATGTTTGAGTGGGCATCATTAAAAAATAAACCTCAGTGGATAGAATCCTACATACTGTGATGAGAATAGGTCTTTAAAATACACTTAAAAATACATGCAAAGAAAATGGATCGATCACAACACATACACACTGTTCATAGAAGTGCTGAACTTTACTTTGCAACCTTAGCATCTGTACCAAGTGTCCCTCCTGTCTTTCTTAGAATTTGTTTCTATAGTAAATACCATGTCTATCGTGATGTCAGTAAGAGATATTTTATCAATTTACCCTAATTTGTTATTTTACCCATAAAAACAGTGCCCATGAATCTACAATAAATACAAAATAGAAAAGAACATTGAGGAGAGCTTTAGACATATTAGCTACTAAACAGGCTGTATTTTGTGGGAAGAGGAATTTCTGTTGATCACTGACCTCCCTTTCAACAGCTTCATGTGATTATTGATTGCCGATCTCATGTCACACAGAAAATGATAAGCTATTACAAGAAAAATTATTTGAAGTCTATCAAAAGAACCCAGTGAACTACATATTCTACAGTCATTAGCAATCCAAAGAGAATTCGTTTAGTTTTAACTTAAGAATAGAGTTGTCATCATTTCACAAACCTGCAAAGCACTTAAAATGCAATTCATTGAAATCAAAGAAATTTACTATAAAGTGTTATATGCTTATCTGGAATTCAGTTTTCTTTTAACCTTGATTTTAAAAATAAACTAGGATATACTCTCATTTAGAAATTAGCAAGAGACAAATATTGTACTAAAGAATGATAGCAATAAAACAATTCTCTGTAATGTCTTTTCATAGCTAAAATATTGTGGGAATCAGGATCATATTATTTTAGGAATTCAACTTTCAATTTACTTCTAAAAATTATGATTCCATTGATGAGCTGGTATGTAACATGTATGAAGTATTTTTCTTCTAAAAAAGTGGGAGAAAGAGGCAAATTCACAGAGAAATATATTTGGGAAAATTGATTCTGCATGTATACCAGTATCAACTTTTTAGGCGGTGGTAATGCATCTGAGTACAATGCCTTCATCAAGTATAAGATAATGGTCTTTGTTGATCTTAGGCAACATTAGAATATGCGTGGATATTTCCCCTGAAGACTGTGTGACCTGTTTTCTACATCTGTGACCAAGATTCTTTTTTTATTCTGAACAGGGTCCCACCCAAGTCTCCTCCCTAAGGCTTACCTTAGCCCTTGCTTGCCTCAGCCTAAGCTTACCTTTCATTTTAGAGGGTGGCTCCTTCTCCAGAGCTTGGCATCTCCTGCAGTACATCAGTTGTAACAAGGCCTTGAACCAGTCTGTCTGCTTGGACGGTGTTATAAACACAGCTTTCTACCTGTTTTTTTTTTTTTTAATAAATCATATTTTCTAAGTTACCAATTTTTCACTAATAATGATATTTTTATTGATCACTCTGATTTTTTGTGAAGTATTTTTCAAGTTTTGAAAAGGAAGACCATTTTTATACTTTTATTCTCTATTAGAAGTCGCTGTTTAAAGCCATTGCACATACATTTTTGTCTGTACATCCATTTGTATTCTCATAATATGTTCCTACAATTAGAGTCATACATTAAGATGGGGGATATCTTAAAGCTCATGACATATGAGGGAGCTTGTTCTATGAAACTGTCATCAATAGGAGGCATATTTATTCTTTTCTCTCTTTATTTTTGCTGACTTGTTATTTGGAAAAAAAACCTTGCCATTTCAAGCTAATGGATTGTATTACCATAAAAGGTGACTTTTAATGCTTTTCCATATTTATGGAAGATATTTTTCAATTTTTATAGCTCATTAAATTTGGGTGTGATATTATTCGTTTTTAAAAATGTTGATTCATAGATATATTGAACTATCACATTTTTCCTGAATGATTTTAGTACTTTAGTGTTCTTAAAATATTTTTCCCTCCCATGTTCCCCACCCCCCAGCTTCTTAAAAATGGTTTCATTTTTACAAGGAATTGCTTAGTTATTAATTTCATGGACCCTGAAATCATGTTACCTATGTTTGAAATCCTAGTTTCAATATTCACTCAATAAACATTCATGGGGTCTATAGTAAGTGCAGAAGCATTGTGTTAGGCCAGTAGTAAACACATGTGAACCAAACAGGTAAGCTATCACCCTTGTAGGATTTATACTTCGTGAAAGACAAATGACAACACATATGTCAAATAAATAAATAAATTTTGTTATTACATGGTGATGGAAGGAACAGAGCCTGGGAATTAGATGTACTGGTGAGAAATATGGTGACAGTGGGTTACATTTTCAACACATTTCAAAGTAGCCTTCATTAATCTGGAGATATGTGGGCAGAGCTGGAGGTTAGGCAGCTGGCCATGGGGAGTATATCAGAGAGCAGTGTTCAGGTAGAGAAGTGACCTTAGGTGACTTATGTTTTAAATGATCATTCTAGCTGTTATATTGAGGATGGACTGAGAAAGCAAGGACATCAGGAAACAAGCCAGTCATTCCAGTGTCAATAAACTTACATGAAGTGGTCAATTCAAGTTCCCGAATAAAAAGATAGATCCACCAGAATTGTCAAACTGTGTGCAAAAGGGCTGTGGTAAGAAGAGTTCAGGATGACTCTGTCATGTCTAGCTTGAGTATACAGATGAGGCCGAGATATGAGATAGAGGAGATCAGTGTTGGTGTGTGATCTTAGAGAAGATTAGAAGTTCACTGTGGACATGCTAAGTCTGAGATGGCTATTAGAACCATTATAAGCTGCATATCCTTGGATAATGTGACTACCACTATGTGCTTTGGTCAATTATTTTGTTCATTCATTTCGATCAACATTTTCAGGTTC